CTGTTGCCTTTCCGCAAAATGTAGATATTTATCTTTCAATTGAATTTGTGGAATAACATATCTGTTGTGGAATAAAATACGAAGCTATAAGAAAGCAAAAGAATCTTTTTTTCTTACTTTTAAACCAAACTGATTTTAATAAAAATGCATTTAATTTATAATCTACTGAATAAAAAAAAAATTCAGTATTTTCACAGAATGGTGTTATATACTTCTTTATTATTCATGTCACATTACATTTTGTAAAATTTTAACGAATTTTTGATTAACAAATTCAATGATTTGAAATCGAGCAGTAGCAACACTATACAAAACGAAACATTTTTATCTACAGAGCGCGAGACTGTCTAATGAATATTCTAAAAATATGTTGTTTTTAGATATTTTGTGATTCTGCTGTTGAATTGAATGTTATGTGGTTTAAGCGCGAAGAACGTGATATTTAATAAATAGTGTCAACACACAAAACGTTAATAATAAAAAGGCAAAAAAGTTTTGTAATCAATCTTATTAAAAAAATAGAACATTGATATGACAAACTGAGAAAAGACTGAAAATATACAAAAAATAACACTTATTATTACTTATCAACGATGCTTAATAATATAACTAAAGAGAGAGAGAGGCTACCAGAAGTAAGTACAACAGTAGGGAATAATAATCGGCTGCGAACTAAACGAGAGCAAACCCTCTCAGGCAACAGTTATAACCTGAAACTTTTCAGATTTTTTTCTTTTATTCTCGCTCTTGAAGGCGTTCTATAGAATTCCGGTATTTCTAATTTCTAAAACAAAGCCGTAATATTAGGACTACTTTAAAAGTTCTTACATATGAGCGATAAAGAATGGATTTTCAGCAAAATAAGCGTATGAAAATGTGTAAAGCTTGCAAAGATGCGATAAAAACATCAATAAAGTATCAAACTAATTTATAAGCTAACAAGATCAGGTCCTAATTCCTCTAGACGTTCCGGAGCTCTGTGAAAGGCCGTCAGGAAGGGGGGCAAAATAAATAAATAAAATAAATAATAATTAAAACAATTCACTAAAAATTCGATAATTTACCATCGGGAAGGAGAGAAAATTAAATAAATAAAATGATTAATAATTAAAATTATTAAATAAATATTTTGTAATTTAACGTCAAGACGGAGGGGAAATAAATAATAAAATAACTAATAATTAAAATTATTAAATAAAAATTCAGTAATTTAAAGAGAGAAAAAAGAATTTAATTATTAAATTAATAATATATCATTAAATCGCTACATATAATAAAAGAAAGAGTCTGTCTGTGTGTGTCTTTCTTTCGTGCTGCGTATAAGCTAATAGACCCAGGGCTACGAAATTTGGTACATAGGTGCATCTAGACAAGAGCCAGTTCACCTAGAAGCGATTTTTTCAAAATTCGAATCAGATTTTTTTAAATTTAAATTTTTTTTGATGAAGTCGCATGATTTTGAATAGTTTCGTTCTTTTAGAAATGTGGTTTTGGCAACAGTTTTTCATTCAATGCTTTGTATACTGGACTGCTGACTGTTGAAAATATGAGATAAAATGCTGCTTATTTTCTTTTGATTTTTGGACACGCTGCACACACATTCATAGTCTGACGCGCATGTGTCTCTCAAGGCACAACAGAAAGAATACGTTTCCCCCCTCTCTTCTTTTTATTAGCTAATGGTAAAGAGGTTGTATATTTTGAATTATGTCATCCACAAAGCGTAATTTTGATTGGTTATTGCTTTGCTTTCTGATGATAGTTTTATTCTTTTAGAAATGTGGTTTTGGCAACAGTTTTTCATTCATTGCTTTGGATGCTGGACTGCTGACTGTTTTCTCTTGAAAATATGAGATTTATTGCTTATTTCATTGTAGCTTTTTTATATTATGTTTTAATTATATATAACTTTAATTATATAAAAAGGTTTGCATGATATTTTTTATGAAACAGAGTTCTTAACTTCCTTTATGCCATTTGAATTCTTAAGATTTTGCAACGAGAAGTTAGTTAATTTATTTATTAGGATAATTAATATTTGTATTATGGGATATTGCTTATTTCATTGTAATTTTATATATATATATATATATATATATATATATATATAATGCATTTTTATTGATTTTTTTTTATGTTCTTCTGCAGAGTAAAACTGTGAAATTTTTAAATTTAATGTTTGGTGTTCCCTTTAGGCATTTTTCCGGTACGTTTAAAAGCCAGACGTAGGCAGGCCTCATAGCGGCTAGTGTAAAATAGCAAAAAATCAGACCTCGTTTTGTAAAATCTCAAGAGGAGGTCCTATTTTTTATATTTTATATTTAATTAGTCCGTGGAAATTGGCTAATATAAAATGTTACTAGAACTACCTATGTGTTGACCCTTGCGAATTCTCGCACGGGCTTGAAGATGAACACAACCAGTGGAAGAGTGTAAAATTGAACACGATGTAATTAACTGACAGCACGGTCTTACGCGCATACAAACCGCGAGCATTTGCGACAAAAGCTAAAAGATAATGTAACATAAATAAGAAATAGGTCAGCCAGTCTGCTGCTGAAATTAAGCTCCAAGTATACTGTATAATGTACTATTTCAAGAAACGTTTACTAAGAAAGCTAAAAAGCTAAACGATGCTCTGCCGATATAACTACAGCTGTCAAGAAGATTGTGACAGGGGAAAATTTTCCTCCGAATCCGATACGGTAACAACATGAGAATAAACGTAAGGAAGGCTCTTGTACAAGTGAACAGTTTTCGTCCCACGTATTCGAATATGTACTTCAATATGTCTGCAGGAGTTCTGCAGTCGGAAGTCAGTCACTAGCGTTGCACGTGCATGACAATCACTTTTAGTACTTTCAGGAATGACAAATTTATTCATAAATTTATTGCACTTCCTGGAGTCTGACATGTGGCAAAGGGAGTGCTTTATTTAAAAGTGTCAGATTTCTTCAGTGTTTGTTCCCCAAGCAAAGGTAGACATGGATTCAGAAGTTAGAATCAGTTTTTATGGAGCATTTATTATTGCAATACAATTTGTCTGCTGAAATTGTGATTCACTTTTATAAAAGAACCTTATTAGTTACGCCTTCGGTGCTCTTCGGCTAAATTTACGATTCGTCTTAAAAAATTGAGAAAACGGGAGCCGGGCTCCTGCGCAGTTTAAGCTCTGTACATTTTTCGTAAAACAAGAGCTGCCTTTCATGAGCAAGAGAGAGGCAATGATCAGTACGCAGATTCCACAAATAGATAAAATTTCGTAAAATTAATAAATTTAAGTAAGAGTATAAACATTTACGCATAGTGTAGCATGAAAATTTCTTATTGCTTAGAATGATTTCATAAATTGCAGTTAAAAAATCATGCAAATGCCATATAAAGGAAATGGTGATTTTTCAATTTACTTCTATCAAAAGTACAGTCATAAATGAAAATGCTAATACACAAAAGGAAAAAAAAAAAAAAAAAAAATCTGATAAGGTCAGATTTTAACGGTCGCCTAAAAGGGTTTGTTAAGGTTTTTTTTAACACTCTCGCTGAACTCCTAGTTTACTAGGCTGATGTTGAACATATTTCTGCTAACGCATTTCTTTTTGTCTTTTTAGCTTTATTATTAAGCATTATTTTTTTTCGCACTTACACCATCTGCAGCTGAACAGCAAAATTACAAAAAATTTAACAGCATAACAACATATGTATAGAATTCCCGATAAATGTTAAGTGTGGCATACGTTTTTCTATTTTTTTCAGTCTTATCTTAATTCATCATATCAATGCTCAGTTTCTTAGTAAGATGGCGTACTTTTTTTTTTTTTTCATTATTAACCTCTTGTGAATTAATTTTATGTATTAAATATCACATTCTCCGTACTTGCACCCCATGAAATTCGATTCAAGAGCAAAATCACAAAATATTTAAAAATAGCACATCTTTAGTAGAATTTCCGATATACAGTCTCGTGCGCTGGAGATAAAAATGTGTTATTCTGTACAGTGCTGTCACTGCTCCCTTTCAAATGATAGAGTTTGTTAATAAAAAAATTCAATAAAATTTTATAAAATATAAAATTCGAAATTTAAATTTCGTGCTTCCAGGTACACACGTTCGGGTTCCAGATACTTCCTCATTTAATTTCGTTAAAATAAAACAGTTTGATAATATTTGGTGGCAACAATGTGAAAAATGATTTGCCGTTTATAATGCACAAAACAAAATCCGGATTTGAGACTAATAACCCTTTTGGGCTAAAAATAAGTTTTTTCCCCCCACCCAAACATAACATATAACAAAAAATTTGAAGTCAGTTACCTATAAGATTTTAATATGTCAAGAAAATGTATGAAAAGCTTGATTAAAATAACAATTTAGGAGCTTAGCAAACGCAGAGAAATATCCATCTTCTAATTCCAATTTTTATGAAATTTCATGAAATTTTATCAAATATATTTAACACTAGTGAATATTTTTAAACGTTGTCTGCATTTCTCTTGAAACTGAAAATAAAAGTTTTGATAAATTTCTAAATATCAGCGGTATTCGTAGCGTAATAAATGAAACTTAAAAGATTGAGTCCTTGATTTTCCCAATATCATCATTAACTTTAACCATTGTTTAACTTTTATCTAATTGAGTAATATAATTTATTTACTGATTATACCTGGATTATATATTACATTGCGACTGCATAAGTCAAACAAAACTGTATTATGACCTTAAGTTTGGTGAACAGGTGCGCGTTATGCGGTATAATTATACGCCAGCTTTACATGTAATTAGAATACAAATACAAATAATTAAAACTTCCATTCATTAATATAATATTCTTAAAATCTGATGTTCAGCATGCGCTTCTTGAAAATTCAGAATACGCCTTTGATTAAATATGTTTATGACTTCCAAGACGAAACAATTTGGTTTTCGACGCTCAATATGTAGGAACCTGGTGAGTATTTCCCGTGATTCCTTTGGATTTGCCCGCCTCGTGGATTTGTGAGATTTGCATAATGACGTAATTTGTGTTCATTCCGATACGCTGCAAAATTTGTTTACATCATGTGCTTCAAATTTTTAAATGCGCGTAGATACGCTAGCCAACTTGGGAATGCATGTATTCTGTATAAAGTCTATGTTTTCAGCAGCAGGTGCGGTAGGATTTTGATTGATTGCAATGGAAGCGAAAGAGGAAAGTGAATCAGGTATGCATGAAGTTTATTTGAGTTTAATTAAAAAAATCAATTATGTCGTAATAGTGTAATGGCTTGTTTTAACATTTCTTTTTCAGTTTCTTCTACTTTTACTCGTAATGAAGAAAGCGGGAAAAGATGGGGATGCAGAAATAAGAAAAACGCTAAAAAGAAGATTACGTTAGTGTATTTATTGAAAGTTATATGTTCATCGCAAGAAACATGCCTTGACTGGCTAAAAAATAAAGGTTTAATACCAAAAATAATGTTCTGCCCTAACTGTAGCAAGAAAATGAAATTTGAAAGCCAAGAGAATGCTGTGGATGGCTATGTGTGGATCTGTAAGGTAAGAAATGTTAAAATTATTAAATGCGTGATAAAGTTTGCAAAATGAGTTTGTGGTAAAAGTTTCAGAATGATGTAAATAATTTATATTTATTTTTTAATAATTCATATGATTGACACAAATAATTTATATTTTTTACTCTCAGAAGTGTGGGAATGTGTCTCATATTTATGACATAATTTTCTAATTGGAAAAGTACAAAATGGGGGGGGGGGTTATTAAAAGACGTAAATATTTACTTAAATTAGAAACTTAATTTATCAGACACTTGTATTTTCTAAAATTCAGTATAATTATCAGCGCATTGCAGTAGCAAGATATATCAGGTCTAAACATGTTTGAAAATTAATTACCATGCATTTTACCCCTCATAAAATGTTGAAAATCTGTGTAAAATTTAACTGAAATAGAATTATAAAGATTTGTAAATATCTGCCTGTTGTTTCTTCTTCCTGGAGCAGTAAATTTTGATCTGTTATGGTTACAGTATACTTACAATTAACAGTTTTGTAGGTTGATTTATTCCCACTGTTGTAAAACTAATATTCATAAATTTAATATTATATCAAACATTAATATTGCTACATTGTATAGAAGAAGCATATGGCATCTTGGATTTTTCTAGTATTTTAAGTTTTCTATTATTTGTGTGAATATTAAAGTGATGCAAACAAATAAAATATAAGGTTTTGTTTATTGTAAAAATGATTAAATTATGCATTTTAGATATTTAATAAAAATTAGAAAAAATAGTATTTGTTGTTTTTTTTAATTAATAGCAAAAATTTTGATTTCAGTCAAGTTATTGTATTAATTAAAGATGGTTTCTATTTAAAACTTTTTTATTATTATATGTATTTGCACATATTGTAGACAGTTTTACCAGAAAATTGTATTTGGAAGTAGTAGGCTTAAATAATAATGTGTCAGTACCAGTAAAAAGTTAATTTTAATTGGCCCTGGTAATGATATTGTAACTGTGAAGCATATTTAATAGCATTATTTTAAATATACTTTATTAAGTTGATATTTTAAAAGCTTACATATATTATTATTAATATCAATGCTTACGAGAACAGCTGTGAAGGTTTAGATTAGATTTTAACTATATTATGGTTAGAATTTTACTTTCTTCTGAGTGTGTTCTCTCTTTCCCCCCCTTTTTTTTAAGATTTTGTTATCATTTTGTTAGAGTGAAAACATAACACTTCCAATGGGAGAAGGAATTTTATACTGTATTTTTCTTCTATTTTTTCTCTTAGGGGAACACCCATATCTAGCACACATATAATGTTTCACTAATTGATATATGTTGCACATTTATAAACTGATTTTTAGAATGTTATTTATTATGTAAGTATTAAATAATTGTATTGAATTTCTGTTTGTTATTTTTATGTTAATTTTTATCAAATTTCAAAATTTGAAAGCGTGTGTGTCTGGTCATGCATTTATAATTATTGGTAAATAAAAAATTTTGCTGAAAAAAATACCGGTTGGATCGTAACAGAGCCACACAGCCTTGGCGCACACACTTATATGGCACGTATAAATGTGTACATGGACAAAGTCAAGGGAGTGTGCAATGCCAAGTTTGTGCAATGCTCTTTTTTTTTTTTTTTTTTTTTTTTAGTGAAAATAGGTCATTGTGTGCATGGATAATGAGTTTGTGCAATTGTTTGATTTGTTATTTTCAAGTTGGCGATTTTGAGAAGCATGCGAAGCAGTGGGCGATTCTGCACTTTCTATGTTTGTCGCCAAGAGTATTTGCTCTCTTAGGATTTTTTGTGCAATTCTTTGTCCTATTATTTTGGTTTCGTGTAGCGGCCATCTTGAAATTGTGCCTTGCTGGCCAATCGCCAGTTTTTGCCAAGGGGCACCCTTAAATATATTTTTACCAGATATCCTATACACCAAACAAAACTTACTGCTTCCATATAGGATGCATGGCCAAGTTGGATGTATTTAAAAGCAGAACTGTATCAAGATACCTCTGTATTTCCCACTGAATACTTACTGGTAAAATTTTTGGTAATTAGTATTAACGACACCAACTTGGGTAGTTTGGCGATTTATTTTATGGAAATAAAGGTGATTTTATCAATTTTCGGATTGCAACTCGGGTATGGTTTGGCGACTTACTATTAAGGTGGTTGCGATAATACATAAGTACCAAATTTTCTAACAATATATTATGTCCTTTTGCTAGTCCTGAAAGTCCAGGTTACTTGTCCTGAAACCAGTCCTGGTTAAATTGCTAGATATTTTAACAGGTTGATTTATCTTTTATAAATAATAAAATATTCTCTTTTTCAGCAATGTATTTATCAAATGCAAAGTACACCTTGCATGAATGTTTAAGGCCTCTCATCTTAAATCATATTTGTATGTTTTTCCCTCTTCTATGAGGACTTGAGGACTAGTAGACTTGAAATCCGGCAATTCTGTGCTATGATGGATTGTAATTTTTCACCTCTGTCTTTTTTATACTAAAAAAATTCTTAGCTATATTATGATTTCTCATTTTATATATAACAGCTGCAATGAAAGTACAGTCAGATCCTGATAACCAACAGATAAACTAGGCCTTGTGTTAAAAAAGTTTGTTGATTGCTGAACGATGGAAAAACTGTCACAAACCATCTAAAGTAAAATTCTAAAAAGAAGAAAAAAAAAAAAAAAAAAAAAAAAAAAGGCTAAAGTAAAACTTCCATGGGAAAAAATAGTTTTTTTAAAAAATTGAATGGTAGGTACTTGCCTTTTTTTTTTTTTTTTTTTTAGCATTGGCCACTCCGAAGACCAGAAAGTGGTGAGCTATTTTATTGTGAAGGCTTCTAATAGGTGGCCACTGGTACCTTCTATGAGGGGATAGAAAATTTACATCCATGCCTTCTCCTGGATTTGAACCTGGGTTCTTCGACATCACAGTTGGCTCCTCTAGCATAGCGGCAAAGAAGAAAATGTATGGGATAGCAACTGCGATAGTAGATGATATTGCAGTATTTAAAAATTGTTATCTTAAACAAGATGTAGTTTTATTCCATTATATGGAATATGTCGATTCCATTATATGGAATATAAAAACAGGTTAGAGTAGATTGAAGGGTGTCCCTTGGATCATCGCCAAGTTGTTTCATTTATGGTAGCCTGAGTAGTTGAGTACTATGGAAACCCTATTATGATATAATTAATTGCGTGATTGCGGTGAATTTGAATGATGAAATAGATTTTGGTACATTGTTGTTTTGTGGTTTACACTGTAAAATGGCTGACTGTTGTAAGATTAATTTGAAACTTCTGTACGATTTTGAACAAAAGGGGGGAAAAGCATTAACTGACTGGTGTATAAATGAAGGTTTACTTAGTTGCCGGAATAAGTGTTCTGTTTGTAGGAAGGAAATGCGTATGGTTGAACGTCGGAGGACACCTGCACTACGGAGAATATTTTTTACTCTTATTTTTGTGAATTTATGTGGCAACATCAGTATACAGATTCTAGTTCAGATAATTTTAGGATGTTTTTAGATGCTGTTAATAAATTTTGTTTGACTGAAGACAGGGAAATTTGTAAATAAGGTAAGTGGTTATTTCCTTTTTCTAGTGCTAAGATGAATTTCCTTTTTTATGTTGTTTCATTGTTTGATTTAAAATGTAGATTTTGAGATTATATATTTTTTGTTGGCTGCTCCTTTGACTTTTTAAGTCAATGTAGATCAATGTGTACATGGACAAAGGGAGTGCGCAATGCGTAGTTTGTGCAATTCTCTGATGTTTTTTTTAAGTAAAAATAGGATGGAGTGTACATGGATACCAAGTTTGTGTAGTTCTTTTACTTGTTATTTTAGATTTGTGTAGTGGCAATTTTTCACAAAAATCACTGCTACACAAAGCCAAAATAACAAGTCGAAGAATTACACAAACTTGGTGTCCATGTACCGCCAAAAATAGCCATTTATCACCAAGGGGTACCTGTAAGTATATTTTTACCTAAAAACATTGTTTAATCATCCATGAAAATGAATTATGAAAACAACCCTTAATTTTTTATAGACATTAATTTTCATTTCCCATCCACTTTTATTAAAATACAGTCAAAAATCGTTTATCCGGACTCGTCGGGACTTCAGTGATTCCGGATTATAGATCATCAGTTTAAATCGCGTAAGATGGCATGCAGAAATTCTAAAATTAAAAATATGAAACCGTAATTTATGTAATAAAGAACAATTATGATCTAAAGGGTATCAAAATTTACAAAAAAAGCTTAATATTTATTTGTTTACTTTATTAATAATTTCTTTCAATGTAAGTTGTTTAAGTTGCTTCGTTTTATGTGATAATACTTTCTCTTTAATTCTATAAACAGACATAATTTTTTGTTCACTTACAAAGTTCCGCTGTTCAAGTCCCGTTAATTGCTGTGCCGAGAATACCGACTAACTTGTCAATCGCAATTTTTTCATTTTCACTAACCTCTCTATCACATTCTTCATTTCTTTATCCATTTTTTGCAGCAATTCCAATTTTTGTTTGATGGATATCAAAACATACTTTCGTTTTGTACGATCCTTTGGGAGCTCTAGAATCAAAAATTCTATTTGACATAATCGAAAGTTCAAGTTTACTTTTATAGTATTGCTCTTACAGTCTGCAAAAAATAATAAGCCGGATCCAATTCGAAAATTAAGGAACAACGCAATCATCAACATTAACTGAAATAGATAATTAGATAATTTTAGCTTACACCGTCCGTTATACATAAAACGCACACGCGAAAACGTATTCTGCGCTTGCGCACACGCAAATGCGCAGTCGTAAGAGGTCTTACGCGCACGCGTAAACGCCTATGCGCATGTGTCAATGCGGCGCATGCGCAGAAAGTTTTTAGCTTTGAGGTCCGAATTATAGATCATTCCGAATTATGGGTGTGTCCGAATTAACGACTTTTGACTGTATAAGAGTAATGTAAACAAAGTCATGGTTCTTTGTTTCACAGTGCTTTCTTGTTTTGAACAGATTTTATTTTCATTGCCAAGGGAACTTATTTTTAACTAAACTGCTTGGAAATGCAAGCAAATTATAGGGTACTCCTCTTCCCCTCTTTTTTTTTTTTTTTTTTTAAACTGCTGTCTGTTTACCTTTGATTTTGAGTCAAAACATATGTTGTCTTGTGGTTTTATCCCAGTTAATCAAGTCTGCTGTAAATTTATTTTTTAATGTTGTTTATCCCCTAAATGATGTATATATTTAAGTGAACAAATTTATTTTTTAAATTGATAGGAATGCAGAATTGATCCGCCACAATATTCTTCTAGACATGGATCTTGGTTAGAGACTAAAGATGCACCTTTGGTCGACATTTTGCTCTTCACTTATTTATGGTCTCATGGTTTTGATGAATCTAAAATTGTGAAAGAAATGAATATGTCTCTTGAAGAAGTTAAAGACTGGGATGTCACATATAATGATATATGTGATGCATTGCATCGTAAAAGTCTGCCGGATGGTGAGGATTGTGATGATCAAAGCGTAAGTTTTATTCAGTGATTACACTTATTTTGCACTGTATAAGTATTGGATATTCTGTATATAAAATGAGTTATTTTATTACAAAACTAATATTTAATATGATGGCTAAACTGATCCAGTACTACTTGGGATAGAAATACTGCTTGGCAATATTATGAATGTTTTGTTCGGGAATTAAAAATTAGATAAAAAAGGCTGTCTGAGAAAAATCATCCAGGATTTTTAAATATTGGCCTTCAATATGTGCTTCTAAATAATTTTTTAAATGTTTATTTTTAGAAAACAGTTTCAGTATTGTAGGTAAGAAGTTCAATTAACATCATAATATCTAACTTTTTATATGGTCATTGTAAATCAAAACTTCCAGTTGGTATAAACAGTGAAATCTTTAATGAAGATCATCTTTGAAAGCGACCAGTATGGATAGGAATGCAAATTTAGCCATTAATGAAACATTGGTTATCAATGTAATGACCGGCCCACCAGCGGCCGAGCGGTAATGTCGCTGAATACTGGTAGTTCGGTCCGAGGTTCGAATCCAGTGAACAGGCTGGCTGCATGGGTGTTTTCATGGTTTTTCCCATGTGTAACGTGTATACTAGCCAGTTCCCTTAAAAAGTCCTCCACGAAGGCATCCCTCCCTTAAGGCAGATAGCCCTCGAGTGCTTTGCCGTAATATAATAAACCAAACCAATGTAATGACCAGTTACAAATTTGAAGTATTTTCTTGAAAAAAATTCAAAAATGAATATTTTGCTTCCTAAACTAATAAAGTCTACTTGGCCATTTAATGAGTTGCTCAATATCCAAAATATACGAAAGGTTAATTTGGTCACAAAGATAAAAATGTTATTATATTAGCTCTTTTTCATCATATCATTATAAATCTCTGAAAATTTTAAGGTACTTCCTTATTATCCATACCTCTACATTGCTAAATACGTTTGTTTAGGTATCTTTACCATTCATAGGTACTCTTTGTTCATAAATGTAGTGTATTGTATTCTATTATATTAAAAAAAAAAGCATTTTATAAGAAGGAAGAAATTTTATATAAAAAGACAAAAGTCTTTATTGCCTGCAATTCCATTTTATGAAATAATGACTGAAGAAATGGTGGTTAAACATAAAGCATGTACCAAGTATCCACATGTACTTAAGCTTATGTGTGGTATGCACAAGTTGGCTATTCTCATGTGTATATCCAAAGGTATGCCAGAAACACAGTTCTATTGAACATTGCAACTGGGAGTGTAGGTAATCAGAAAGTACTGTTAATCTTGCTAAATTGGCTTCCAGTTTAATACAAATTTAATCTTACTAAACTGACTTCTTACATCCATTCTTTTTGTTATTAAAAATATATTACTCTTTGTAGGATTGTAATAAAATGTATATTCTATAGTTTTGAAAATAATTTTGCAAGTTCATTTTGAAACATTACAAAATTATTAAGGTATTTAGTAGAAGAAAGAGTCCAAGTAAAAAATAACTGTTGCATTTTGGAAATATGATCAAAGAAATACTTTTTTTCATAGTATTTTGGAAAACTTTGGGATTTGCAGAATTAAACCAGATGGTTTGGGGATTAAACCTCCTGACCAGTTTCAGTGTCTTCATATTTATGTATCAACTCAATGACAGTTATGATCATTGAAAAGTATTAACTCGGAGTTTTATTTTGAGATGGCTAATTAAGATGTTTTGTAATATTTTCTTAATTTTAACCATATCAAATTTATTGCATTTTTCAAGAACACTTATTACCTTGGTTAATAAATAAATTTTATCATTTTTTTCCCCTCTCAAACTTGAAGTAAAGTTTCAAATAACAAAAGTAGTTGCATTAATTTAATCATTAGCATTTGTTTTGAGTATAAGGGAAAATAATTTATTTTTTAATTCTAATTTTTCATTACTTTCAACATGTATCAGTTAAAAATATACTGGTTTGCTTTATAAAGTAAGAGAAATACATGATTTTTTTTTCTCTTTAGTCTTTTATTACTTTAAATTTTTTAACTACATTTAGAATTTCCTTGTCAGCTTTTTGATTTGATGCAAATATTTTGGGTCCTGCTGTATTATTTGTTTAAAACATGACTGCCGGAATTGTTATATCTATATAATTAAAAATTTTCCATGTAAATGATTTTCAGACCATATAGCAAATAAAATTGAATGCATTTATTTCATAAGTTTTGGGGTTAATCTCATTCAACATTATAGATATATTCGTGTTATATGATATAAAATTGATGATGATATGATAGAATGTATCATTTTGAATGATATGCCATTCCGAGCACAATTCAATTTTTTGAGATTGTATAATTTCAGAAATGAGAATAAAGTTTATATTAAAATTTAAATACTATAAAGATCTGTCATTGGGGCTATGGCTGTTAGATGACTACCCTAGAGAATCGGTGACTAGTGTTTCCAAGATGATAATTAAAAGATGGCACTGTGCATAACCGATAGTCATATTTTTTAAAACGACTTTATCCATAGAAGCCAAAATATTCTAGGAAGAGGATAATCATCTTAGAAAGGTTTCATTGTAACTGAACATTAATTAACAATATATGATTAATTTAACAACACAAAATACAGTGAAAGAGCATTATCTAAGTTGGATAATATAGTATCTAATCCAGCTAATGATTGATATGTGTTATCAACTTCTAAAATACTAACAATGTGTATTAAGTTGTATATTGACTCACTTACATATCTTTTTAGTACAGCTTTCTTTTGAGAATTTCTCAATTAAAAGTTACTTTTTCAATTTTTGATATGAGAAAGTATAAAATTTTCAAGAAATCCAGAAATGAGAAATGATGAAGTTTCTGAAACACTTCTTATAAAAATGTGTCATAATTCCTTTTTAATGTTTTATAAATAAACCTAGCAAGAGTAATATTGAAAAATCACAACTAGACAGTGCATTAATGGCTGTTTTAAAATTGAGCTATCGCATGGCTTTAGAAATGGCTTTTATATTACACATTAGTGTCAGGATGTGAATACTTATAAAAGTTATGAATTATGTATATCAGTAGCAGCCAAATTTTGTATCTTCAAGACACATTTTAAGCCATGTTTTAATTAAACAATAGTTATTTTGTTCCCATTCTCACTAAAGGATGTACTATATTTTGACTTTAAGCCGAAGTATAATACTTTCAAATATAGGTAGTTATAACTGGGGAGTGGGATGTAATAAACCTTGCTTTTGCAATCACCTCTTAGATAACCACGTCTGAAACTGATCATTATGTCTGAGAACATAAAAAAATATTTGTATTAAACATCACTTCTTTAATCTACTGAGTGGTGTAGGTTTGTGGATCTACCATGAAGACCTGTATTTAAAACAACCTTTATTGGCTAAATTTCTATATATCTTATTTTAGTCTCTTTTTTTTTTTTTTTCGTAAATATACAATCATTACAATGACATTTATATTATTAAATAAAGTAAGAAAGCAAAATATCATAAATTATAAGCTAATATATACAAAGTGACAAAAAAATCTAGTGACTGGATACAGTCAGTCACCATACTGAGAGAGTTAAGACAGTTATCTGTATAGGAGACCAAAATTATCTGGAACTGTAGATGGTTTTCTCATTGAGCATTCTTTATATTTTATGTAATATAAAGATTAACGATTTGAAAAACATAAAACTGGGTCATTAATAGTAAAATTGCCCAATTTTTTTTTGGGGGGGGGTGTAAAAGTATTATTTAGAAATCTTATTTTCATCTCAACTCAGTATTTGAAAGCATAAATCAGCTGTGCCTGTTTATAGATTAAATACAGAAATAAAGAAATACAGTAATAAAGAAGTAAAAATAAGGAATCTAAAATTATTTCCTAACTACTGAAGAGTTCACCAGTGGTTAAAGTGTGTTACTCTCAAACATAAATAATTCAAACCAGATCTTAATCCAGGAGAAGCAATTGGCTGTGTGGGTGTTTTTATTAATTATATATTCGTTCACTGTTGTTGGTAATTTAAATATTTTTGTTATTCACACATTTTTATTAAAATTTAATACATTTTATATCCTTACAATAATGTACATAAATCATTTTTATGTTTTTACGTTTAAAGTTTTTATGTGCATTTAAAACACATCCTTGATAATTTTTTCCCAGGAAACTGCTTGATATTGTTTTTATCTCAACAGTATATGAATAAAAAATATATCACATTTGAAGCATAATCCTTAATTAAAAAATTAAATATCTGAGGTATTTTTCATTCATTTTCAGATTTTAAAAATAAGCAGCAAGGAATCTCCTGCTGTTATATGGCGAAAGAAGAATCGATACAAGGATCCATTTTTGGAGTTCCTGAAAGATGCTGATTCCTTATAAATATATATAAATGTATAATTTGACTAATTTGCTGTTATAAGATATTTATTTTTGTTACCAGGTTGAATACCAATAAATATATTTAGTTTATTTGAATGGCTTATTTTTGTTTCAGTTCTTAGAGATGTAAGAAAAATATATTAACAAAAATGACTTTATGCACATATATTAAATTTTAAATTGATTCCTATTACTGTATAAATAATTGATGGCATTAGTGATTGAGAAACTTTAAGAAGTGATACTGAAATGTGGAGATGTATATTTTAAAAAATAAATAAATAAAATGTTTAAACTTGTAAATTTTGTTGCCATTTTTCAAGATGAGAGAATGTAGCAGTGATTCTAGGTAAGTATTACTGATTACAAATCAGTTTAGCTCTTTAAACCATATTTATCTTTTTTAACACATATATTTTTTGATGAACACAAAGGTTAACAAGTTAATTTATAACTTCTAAAAGGGCTTATTAATAAAAAGGATTTATAATTTTAAAGTTATAGTGAAATATAATGTTTACACACGTGACACACATTACATATAGAAAAACCATAAAATAATTTGGCCCTGGAGTTAAAACAGAGATGAACATTGTACTTGGAATGCTTTATTTTAGAAGCATGTCATTTTACACCATCTGAATATGTTGGAAATGATGAGCACCTTTCCAAGGAATGGTTAAGAGATTTCTTACTGTACTGAATGAAAAATAAATTTATTTAATGCGATAATTTTTTGCATCAATATTACTTATATGATGTTAAGTATATAAATCGGTAACACTTTAATTTTTTTTTTTATTCAGTTATAATCCTTTTTGGCTATAATATTGTAGAACAAACCGAAAGAGAAGCAATGTATTGTATATTATAGCTTGATGTCACTTGGAAGCCATATTATATGAAATGCCAATAAAATCAACATAAATGCAACGAATAAAGTAAACCTTGAAACAAATTTTGAACAGTAAATTAAGATTGAAAAATAGAGGTTAACGTCGCTCACTAGATAACCATTAGGCAAAAGAAGTAACGTGATAGGTTTTGAATTAAATAGTAGCAGAAAAAACCAAGTAAGACATGAAAGAAAAATATGGTCAAACCTCAATTAACTTCCAGTTAATGACAAATTCCTGAATCTACAGACCTTCAGATTAATGAACCACTGCACTCCCATTTAGCAGATATTCCTTGATAATGAGCAAAAGCCTTGGTCCTTTAAGTGTTTATTAATGATTAGTTTAATGATATATGAGCTAGTATAAATCAACTGTCTTTTTTAAAGACATAAATTAAGGCACAGAATTTTAAGAAAATTTTACTGCTGTGGTTTGAATTATGTTAAAATCTGGCATTTTTTATGGTCCCTGTAGAATGAAATTCCAATTGTTTGTTAGTAGTTCCCTGTTTTTATGTGCACAATTCACAAAAATGTGAATTTTTCATGAAAGATGGGACCAGCTATGTTGAATGTATTATGCAAGATGAAACTTAATTGCTAAAGCAAGCTGCCTTTATTTTCTATTTGTTTTATAAATCTGTTCTGAAAGATCTTAATAAGCATGGGATTGCATGTAAGGATTGGAACTTTTTTTTAAGCTAATAAAGATAACATTGAAGGGAGGATTCATATATAAAATCTGCTTTACTTATATAATGTTTATATCGTGGAACTCTACATATTATTACGAATGCTATATTTGAAATTGTATAATTTAGGATCATTTAAGGAAATAAAGCCCACTGACATCTTTAACAAATTAAGTAATGCTGATGTTTTGAGGTCGCTGGTTAGACTGTATACTAAAGACAACTTTACAATAACAACAACAACCAATTTGATTTCGTGGACTGTATCATAACTAAAATCTAAATCGAAAATGATAAATTCCTGACCATACAGGATCAAAACATGTATGCTACACTAGGAGTTTGAATCTTAACTAACTAAAATTGCGCAGAAACAATGTGCTGTACATAACTTATATTGCCGCGTAGGAGGCAACATACCGCCCCAGGTTGCAATATCTGTGATATGCAAACTAAATCTAAGTATACAATTCAATATCAAAATGCTAACAATTCAGCTATTCAGTTTTTTTTAAACATTAACAAAAGACTTAAAGTTAGTAAATCATTTATAGAATGAAAGAATTCAGAAAATTCCATAAAGTTTGAACATTTGCAAATTTTTTCAATAATTATGGTAAGTATATCAACATTTCAAACATTAAAAAATATTGACAATTTTTATCAAAATTACCAAAATATAAGTATAATAAAGAACAATGTATATTTTATTAACAATAAAAATTAATCCTTGAAGTTATCCTCAGGCAATAAACAAATTTTTGATATTGGCCTTTTAATTGGACCAAACTTTGTGTTAATGACTGCTACTCGTATCTTACCATCTTTACCAGGAATTGTCTGATCAATTCTTCCTAGTAACCATTTAAATGGAGGTAACTGATCATCTTTAATAATAACTATTGTATTTTTCTTTATATTGTCCTTTGAAAAATACCATTTCTTTCGTTGTTGCAAGTGATTAAGATAGTCAGTTATCCATCGTTTCCATATAATCTGTATCATTTTAGTTAATTTTTGCCATCTTGACAATCTGCTTTCTGACAAGTCTAAAATTTGAGGTTCTACAATTGAGTTTATGGGTCTACCTATTAAAAAGTGACCTGGCGTCAAGGGTTCGTAATCTGAAGGTTCAGACGATAAAGGAGAAAGAGGTCTCGAATTTAGTATTCCTTCAATTTGATCAATTACGGTTAAAAATTCTTCATAGTTTAGTTTAGCATCGGAAATAGTTCTTTTAAGATGAAATTTGAAAGACTTGATTCCGGCCTCCCAAATTCCACCAAAATTGGGGGCACGAGGAGGAATAAATTTCCAAGAGATATTTTCAGATGCCAAATACTTACCCAAAACTTCATCAGGGACAGTAACTAAAGAAGCAAGTTTCTTTAACTCTTTGTGAGCTCCTACAAAATTAGTTGCATTGTCACTAAACAGACATGAGCTTTTACCTCTACGCGAGAAAAATCGTTTTAAACATGCAATAAAGGCTTCAGATGTTAAGTCAAATACTATTTCTAAATGAATCGCTTTTGTAACTAAGCAAACAAAGATTGCTATATAAACTTTATGTAAACTACCTTTCCTTTGATTTCTATATTTGATTAGAAAAGGGCCTGCAAAATCTATCCCTGTGTTATGAAAGGTTAGATTTGGATTTACACGTTCAGGAGGTAAATCGGCCATTAATTGATCTGAAATGATAGGTTTATGACGAAAACAAATTACAGCATTCATGAACTGTTTTTTCTAGCTAAGTCCTTGCCACCAATGGGCCAAAACCTTTCCCTAACAAAATGTAATAATGCTTGAGGACCAGCATGAAAATTTTTCAAATGATAATGAATAAATATTAGCTTGGTAAGCTTATGATTTTTTGGCAATAAAATTTGATGTTTAGAATCATAATTAATTGTGGCATGAGTTAAACCCACACGTAATATATCTTTTCCATCTAAAAATGGATTCTGAAATGGATTTTCCATCTAAAAATGGATTTTCATAAAAATGGATTCTAGTTTTTACCTGACTTTTGATTACTCTCTGATCTTGAAGTGATTTAATCTCCTCTGCAAATTCTATTACCTGAACCATTTTTATCAAGTGCATTTCCGCATCTTGAAATTCAGTACTACTAATGGGGCCTGTTTTCTTCACTGGACTTTTCAGATTGGACAGAAACCTGAAAATAAGACTTAAAATTCTAATTAGTTTAACATAATTATTTGTTAATTCAAAAAAGGTATTCCAAAACAAGTTTAAATTGCAGTTCAAATTAACGTCTAAAGGTTTTTTAAATTCATCCTGATAAGCAGGAGAATCTATGAGAGTCTTGTTGTCAAGTTCAAATAAAGAAGCATCACTAAGTTCGTTCTCTGTTCAGGACCATTCCACCACAAGGAAGATGTCACAAGTTCATGAGGATAAGCACCACGAGAAATCAGATCTGCCGGATTATTTGCTGATGATACGTGCTTCCAGTGTCGCGGCTCTACTAGTCTTTGGATTTTGGAGACTCTATTTGCAACAAAGGTCTTCAAAAGATGAGGAGAAGTCTTCAACCATGACAGTGCTATCGTTGAATCAGTGCACAGAATGATGTCATCTAAATGCATCTTCAATGAGTTGCTAACTTTCGAAATCAGATGAGCCAATAACAAACATGCACAAAGTTCCAATCTTGGAATAGATAAAGTTTTCAATGGAGAGCCACACGAGATTTGCTGGCTAGTAGATGAGATGACGAGCCGTGATCTTCATCGACACAAATCAAGTAGACAACTGCACCATAAGCGGCTTCCGAAGCATCTGCATATCCAATGAGTGAAATCTTGCTTGGATGATTGGAGAGGATGCAACGATTAATTTTTATGTTTTCAACACAGTCTTTAAATTTGAAACTATCTGTTGCCATTCGTGAGCAATAGTTGCAAAAAGTGGTTCATCCCAACTCAGTTTTTGAACCCATAATTTCTGTAAAAATATCTTGGCTTTGGTGATTACCGGACCAATCAGTCCTAAAGGATCATCATAAAGTCTGGCAATTGTCGATAAAATGTCTCTTTTGGTATATGATGATTTCTCCTTGATTGAGACTTTAAAGCTGAATTCATCCTTCTGAGAATTCCATGTAATGCCTAAAGCTTTAACCACATTATCACTTTTGGAGGAGAATGAAAGCTCAGAGCTTGTAGAAGGGCTATCCAACAGTTCAGGAGAATTAGAGTTCCATTTGTGCAAAGTCATTCCACAACTATGAAAAAGCTGTATAAGCTGATTTTTCAATTCCCTTGCTGAGTCTAAGTTTGATGAACCAGAGATGACATCATCAACATAACAGTCTGACAAGACAGCTTTGGCAGCTTCAGGATATTTATGCATTTCGTCATATGCAACTTGCTTTATGCATCTAATGGCTAAAAATGGAGCACTTTTAGTACCATAAGTCACCGTTTTGAGTCTATATGTCACAGGTGAGTCGCTAAGGTTTCTCTTCCATAAGATTCGAAGTAAGTCTCTTTGGGATTCATCAACTAAAATTTGCCGGTACATTTTTTTGTATATCCACAATAACTGCAACTTGATGTTTTCTAAATCTCACAAGAATATCAAAAGTATCTTCTTGGACTGCTCCCGCTAAAAGTAAATCATTCAAACTTAAGCCATTTGAGCTTGGGGCACTAGCATTAAACACAACTCTTAATTTTGTACTT